GCAATAGCTTAGGAAAAAGGAAGAAAGCTAGTTAGGGCACTCTACAGGACCCCAGTGTGCGGAAAGAGGAGTGTCCACCAGGGTTGAGCGTTGTGGAGTGTGACTGATGAAGGAACACGCAGGAGAGAAGGAGGACTTGGTAACTGTTGGGTGAGCTGTCTGAATCAAGAGTACTGCTGGTTAAAAAATCATGTGTACGATTTTTATACCAGTCTAATGTTCTAAGAAGATAAAGTATGACTCGGTGTCAAGGCCAAGAGCTTGGAATAATTTATCAAACAAGGAACTTTGAGAATGGTCTAAGACCAGGCAGTGTTTTGTTCTGTTGTACATTGGGTCACTATGAGTCAGAACCGACTCATTGACTTTTAACAACAACAACAAATACTTTAATTCAAGTATGTGTAAGACCCAGAGAATAAATAATAAAATGCTTTCCGGTGAGTGTATCGATAAATTGATCTATTTGCAGTTGTTTTACTCAAAGAATCAAATGGTTAATAGTTTTTTATTTGCAGGGGACCTTTTTATCTTTATCCAACCTTAACGTTAGGTGATTGTGCTTTCGCAGGCAGATAGAGATGACCTTGAGTTTGTGAGTTAGAAACATCAAGAGCTTATTTTACTTTCCACTAGGGGGCAGTGCTCCACCACTATATTTTTCCCCTTCATCTCAGCATCGTATGCAAAAAAGAAAATTAACCTCAGATTGTTTTTACTAGATATTAATGATGGAATTAATTGTCTTATAGATGTATCAAGTCTGTAAAAAGTTTATGAAGTTTATAACATGACTTTTGTATAGCATCTATGATATGGATATGCGATCATAGATACACAGAGAGCTATGGATTCTTTACTGCAGCACATTTTGACTTGTTTATGGTGTTTGAAGTTTTGTGGAATTTACAACATAATTTTCACATTAGTTCACCAAAACATGGACTTGGAAGAGAAAGCCATCTAGTGTATGGTAATGCATGAATAGTTTCAAACTGTAAATGGCTAGAATTTCTAGATAGTTCTCTGGCTCATGGAAATGGAATTGGGTAAGGAATTTGGTGAGACAATGAAATGTTTATACTTCACAAGGGGCTGTGGATCTTCTGAGCCATCTAAAACCTAAGTATATGTATGTTTTTAACTTTATAGTTCTCTTTTAAATGGAGTACATTGTATTCTTCAGCAGCTATCTCTATGGAGGATAAATATCTCTAAAAGATTTCCTTTCGTGTTGTCTATAAAAATCTGCAGAACAATGATACCATAGCACTTCCCTCTATTCTCTGAGACAGTATACTGAACAATCCATTTAAGTTTGAATCGAACATTCCACCATAAAATCATTTTCACTGATTTAATTCCAACTTTAAAGTTGTGCATTACAATCATGGGATTCAGTGTTTACAATACAAATTTTACAAAACTCTTCAAGTTTAAGTGCACTGGAAATAGCTTCTCCAAAACTTAACAGTTAAGTGGAAGAGATAATAAGTAAGGCATTTTGACCTTTTGAATACTTGGTTTATAAAATTGACCAGTTGAATAATTGGTTTCTGCAAATGTAGGTGGGTGGTGGAACGGAGAGAAAAAAATCTGTATAACGATGCCTCTGTCAGGTGCTCCCTGGGGAAATTAGGAAATCTGCCATCTTCCCTGTATTCGCAAAAGCTTGCCAATAATACCGAAGCTCCATAAGAATTTTTGCATTAAAACTCAGTCATCTGTTGAAGAGGAGAGCTCGTATCACCAAAAGTTGCCCCAGACCCAAGTTATGGTATTTTCAAAGGCCTCATTTGCATGCGAAAGTTAGACATTGAATAAGGAGCACCTAAGAAAAAAGGATGTGTTTGAATTGTGATGCTGCCAATGACGATTGAAAGTACCATAGACTGCCAAAAGGACAAGCACATCTATCCCGGAGCAAATCTAACCAGAGCGCGCCTTAGAGGCAAGGCGAGCCTGTATCTTACATACTTAGGACATGTGAACAGGAGAGAGCAGTCCCCGTGGAAGGACATCATGTAAAGTAGGGGGACAGCAAAGGAGGGGCAGGCCCTCGAGAGATGGATTGGCACATCGGCTACAACAAGGGACTCCAGCAGAGGAAGCCAGGGGGCTGTGGCCCGGGACTGAGGGCTGCTTCATTCTGTTGTGCGTAGGCTGCCATGGGTCGGAACCGGCACAGTGGCACCTACCCGTGACATTAGTATTTCAGATCATTAATATTATGATTTGTGTACTCAGCTGATGCTTTCTGTCTGTATGAAAAGTGGGAGGCCGGACTCCATGGTAGTGATTCAAGTCTGAGATCTTAGCACATGTCGTCTAGATAAACCCACGGGCTCCTGATCCAGACGGACTCCGTCTACAACACACAGACAGGCTGGGCTCGCTGAGCAGCGACAAGAAACTCCTTCCCAATTGAATTCTCTTGAATCATTGGCCAGGGTGTGAAGGGTCTTTTCCTCAGAGGAAAGTGCGTTGGCAAGTGGATTACTGCAGAAATACATTTTTAGCCTATTATTGTTTGTTTTCCCTTTTGACCTATTTTTCACTTTTTCCAATTGTTCTTCATGGTCAGCAGTTCAAAACCACTAGCACTTCCATGGGAGAAAGACCAGGCTTTCAACTTCCACCAACAGTTAACAGTCTTGGAAACCCACATGGCGGTCTGTGTTTTATTTTGTTGTCAATGTGGGGTGTTTTTTTTTTTGTATGAT